AATGGAAGAACAAAGTGGGTTCAAGGTGGAAGAACAGTCAAGGAGAAGCAGCTGCTCAGGTTGTCTGGCTTCTTGTTTTATAATGAATTCACTTTGAGACATTTCCTGGTGAAACGATGCACGAGTGTTTGGGCGGAGCCGAGTCTCTGCAGCCGTGCAAAGACACAATCGTAAACACAGGCTGAGTTTGGATTCCATTTGCTCAAAGTCACGCAGTGTACGGTCTGATCAGGTTTGAACACAAGCAGCTGTGTTCCAGATCATATACTTTTAAGTTCTTACACATGGTGCTTATTTTAGTTGGACAAACTTGCATTGCAGTGGTCTTCAGGACCCTGCATAATTTTTTACAGACAGTTTCAGCTCCTTTTAGCCTAAGTAGGAAAGCCCAGACCCTCGCCCGAACACCTCAGTATTCTGGTATCATTGTCTCTCCATAGTAAGTCTTGTGCAATTTGGCCAGTGTCCCATAAACGTCAGCCCCAGTGGTAATCAGGACAGGGAAGATTTGCAGAAGACCGTCTACCTCAAAAGTGAGCCCTTATTTAAGGATCAGCTTTCATCCTAAAATCGTAATTCAGACTCTGCCTTCCTATCAAGAGACAGGGGATATCTGACTGTCTTCTCAGTACAAATCCTATTTAGAGAGATAGCTCAAATGGCATTGACTCAGCACGTCTGTTGTTAACGAGGACTCTTATACTGTAGCCCTGGCTGGGAAGGGAGCTGGTGGCAGAACTGTCACCCCAGCACTCAGGAGGCTGAGGCATGAGGATCTTTGAACTCAGTAGTGTAGGACTAGTCTGGACAACAGGTTCTGTCTCGCAGCAGGAAGATAGAAAGTATATTCCATAAAATGGGCCTGGGAAGCAGCAGTTGTTGAGCGGCTTGTTTAATCGTGGACTTGTTTTCTGGCACTGAAAAGAACATTTTCATTTGCTCCAGTTTTTCCTCTTAGAGGTCAGAAGGTGCTCTGCCAATTCTAGAGGCCACAAATCCTAGAGTGACAAGTGTCTCTACCCTGGGAATAACCACTTGCTGACTTTTACTTGAATCTCTTTCCAGCTTCCATCCCTAATTGAAAGTTCTCATACTGCAACCCCTCCAGAAACTTATCTTACTAGTTTTCCATATCTCTTCCAAATGTACTTCAGAATGATTGGTAAGGCATCCTTGTACAGTTTTGTAGATTTATACTGTTTCTGTATGTATTGTATAAACAGTTCATATTTGTGAATTTTTATTGTAGCACAATTAATAAAAACCCAGAGACAGATACTGGGTTTCAGCCTGAAGGTCAGAAAAGCAAAACAGCCAGCCATTAACTCATCTCTACCTCAGTACAAAATGGAGATCCTGCCTCCAGGAATTCTCAAAATGAGACTGACCAAGAGCTGTCTCCTCCCATCTTATATACCTCTCTAGTGCTGGGATTAAAGACATGCACCAGTACCACCTACCTGGTTTTTATGCCAAACTAGTGTGGCTGCTGGGATTAAAGGTGTGTGTCACCACTGCCTGGTCTGTAAGGTTGACCAGGGTGACTGTTTTACTCTCTGATCTTCAAGCAAGCTTTATTTATTAAAATACAAATGAAATATCACTATCCCCCCTCCCCTCGGGGTTCAGGGAATTCCCTGGAAGAGCAGTCAGAGAGTTCGAGCCAGAGGGGATGGAGGACACCAAGGAAACAAGACCTTGTGGACAACAGGGCTATGCACATATGAACTCAGAGACTATGGCAGCCTGCACAGGGGCTGCATAGATATGCACCAAATGGGTTCCTAGAGTTGAAAGGAGAACTGGACACATCTCCATCCCTAACCCAGAAGCTAGCTCCGATTGAAAACCATTTGCAAATAAAAAGTTAGTTTTCTCCAAGAGGGTTTCAGTAGGGAAACACACTACTCTTAAGGGTAGGCCCTGTGTTCAGCAGTAGATGACCAACATGGAACAAAGTCAACGGTCAGGGACATTTTTTGGTTTTGTTTTGTTTGTCTTTTTTACCTTGTTGGTGTGTATGTATGTATGTATGTATATATATATATACATATATATATATATATATATATCATGTGCTTCCAATTTTGAGTTTTTATGGGATTCCTGAGTGTGTGAACATATGTGTCTTCTGCATCTCTATGTATTTCTTATGCTTTTTCTTTCGCTCTTTATCTTGTTTGGTTATATTCTAATTTGTTTTTTATTTATCTTATTTTATTATTATTTCTTAGATGCTTGTTTTTGTTTTATTTTTCAAGACAGGATTTCTCTGTATAGTCCTGGCTGTCCTGGAACTTGCTCTGTAAACCAGGTTGGTGCTGTGGGATAATGCTCTTGTACACTGTAAAGATTTGTCACTTGTATTGGTTTAATAAAACACTGGTTGGCCAATACCCAGGCATGAAGTATTGGTGGGACAACCAGACTAGGAGAATTCTGGGAAGAGGAAAGGCAGAGACAGAGTTGTCAACCAAAATTCAGAGGAAGCAAGATGAGAATGCCTTACTGAGAAAAGGTACCAAGCCATGTCCTAAACATAGATAAGAATTATGAGTTAAGTTATAAAAACTAGTTAATAATAAGTCTGAGCTGATAGGCCAAACAGTTTATAATTAATACAAGCCTCTGTGTGTTTCTTTGGGACTGAACAGCTGCAGGGCTGGGCAGGACAGAAACTTCTGTCTACAGACTGGCCTTGAACTCATGGAGATCTGCCTCCAGAATGCTGGGACTAAATTTGTACACCACCACCACTGGCTAGATGCTTGTTTTTTTTTAAGGAGACTAAGTGTGGTCTGGATGGGAGAGGAGGTAAGAAGGAGCTGGAAGGGGAGGGGAACATAATCAGAATACATTGTATGAAAAAAAAACTTTTCGATTAAAAAAAAATTCTTCCTTAAGTTGCCTTTGGTCATGGTATTTTATCACAGCAACAAAAGTAATATAGTTACTCAGATCTGGAAACACCCTCATACACACACAGAGATGCCTTTCAAAGGTCCAGGCGTCTTCCTATTTTCATTTTTATTTTATGTGTGTATGTACTCATTCCTCAGGAGGCGGTGATGGCTGTGGCAGTGATGACAAGGATGAAGACAGCCTTGGTGTTAGCGGCATCTCTGAGTACAGTCAACATCCAAGACCAACCATCACATGCAGGGTGGTACCAAAAGAGTGTATGAATGCGTGCTGCTCTATAGCTAAGAAGCTCGTCGTGCCGCAGATGAGTTTTCATAAATTTGGGATTATACCTTAAATGATGTAGATAGCCCCAGTCCTCCATAGAGCAAAGCATCCATCTCATGAAAGCCTCCAGGTAGGCAGTGAGCTGAGTGGGAAGTGGTTTTGTTGCTCAGAATATCCACTTATGATCAGGGTAGGTTACAGGGTTTAGGTCATCTGTGTGAAGTCTTAATCTGTGTGGCACATGCAGGCAATGCTAGTTGCCAGGCAGCTATAATACATGCAGTCAGTTCCCTGTTGGGTGGACAAGAGGGAAGAGGACTTAGTTCTTCTCATACTCGCGCCCATCTTTGATTCCTTCTAACCTGTTCCAACATAGTCAGGCCACGGAGGTTTTAAAGATACAATTTGGGAATAGAGAATCTTCATTTCTGAAAACAGGATAGAAACACTTTGGTCTTAAGCAGTAAGCACCTGCGCATTTTATATTGAAAATGTAGAAGGGGGCTGGAGAGATGGCTCAGTGGTTAAGAGCATTGCCTGCTCTTCCAAAGGTCCTGAGTTCAATTCCCAGCAACCACATGGTGGCTCACAACCATCTGGAATGAGGTCTGGTGCCCTCTTCTGGCCTGCAGACATACATACAGACAGAATATTGTATACATAATAAATAAATAAATATTTAAAAAAAAAGAAAATGTAGAAGCAGTCAATTTTGTGAATTAAACAGGCACTCTTCTAGAACCTGTGTATTGTGGATGCTGTAGAACATTCATTTACCTTATCTCAACCTCACAGTGCTCCTCTTCTGATTGAGAAGCAGAGGAGGGAGGCTACAAACTACCTCCCTTGCTCCACTACCAAGGGAAAGAACGACAGAGAGGAAAGGTGGGAGAAGTCAGGTGTGACTGTGATATACACACCTGTGCTCCCCACACCTAGGAAGTGGAGACAAGAGGATCTGGAGTTTAAGATCATCCTTGGCTACAAAGAGAAGCTGAAGTCAGTCTGGGATAGGAAATACACACAGAAAGTGTGACAGCCAACATGATGCCAAATCCTCAACTGCAGCATCAGGAGGGTTAATCTGTGTCCTCTGGACCACAGATTTTGGTCAGACGTCATTCTGTGTGTGCTTGTGAAGGTAGTTTTGGAGATTAACGTTTGAATGAGTAATTCAGTAAGTACACTGCCCGCCCCTACCCCGCCCCAGCTCTCATCCAATCAGTTAAAGGCCTGAGAGAACAAAAAGCTGACTCTCCCTAGAAAAGTGATAGCATTCCTGCCAAAACCTTGTGCAGGACATTGGCTTCCTTAGTCCTTGGATGCAAACTGAACGTTGTTCTTTTAGTCTGGAACCATGCCGCTTTTGAACTGAAACATCGTTGGTCTCCAGATTACAGAAAGCAGTGTCCATAATCACACAACCCAGTTCCTCAAAGATATGCCCCCCTCCAACACACACTCACATTGTGTTGATTTTCTGCATGATCGTACGTAATACACATTCAGAAAGTTTAGAAACCACACCATGTATTTTTACATTTAAAAGCTCACACAATAAAAATGTGGTTTATTATTATTTATTGTTTATTTTTAGATTTAAATATTGTTAAATGTTAACTTATTAATTAAAACTAAACATTAAAATTTACTATTTTTAAATATTATTTATTTATTATTGAAATGCAAACCACTTACATTAGGGTTTGTCAAACACGTGTCTGTAGTTTCTGAAAACCTTGATGTACCAAACCGTGGAAACCCATAAACACAGAGACCTAGATAAGTCTGTGAGGGGGTTAGATTCCTAGCTTTAAAAAAAAAAAAATGCATTTAGTGAGAGAGATATAACACATAAGCAAAATCATTGTGAAATCAAACTAGAAAAGTTTGCTATCTCCAAACTTCAGAATCTCCACATTACTCCTATAAGTATGGAAGACTGCTGATGCTAGAAACCAATGGAGAAATATGAGGAGATACAGTAATGGAAGTATTTCTCCTAAGTGACAGACCAGCGAGTCTCAATCTGTAGGGCATTACCCCCTTGGGGGATTGCATATCAGATATCCTGCATATCAGATATTTACAATTCATAACAGTAGCAAAATTATGGCTATTAAGTAGCAACACAGAAATTTTATGGTTGGGATCACAACATGAATAACTGTATTAAAGGGTCGCAGCATTAGGAAGGCTGAAAACCACTGTGATAGACTAACAAAAGTTTGCAAGAAAGCAGGTATTCTAAGACCTTTGTAGAAGCAACTCCATTGGAAATAAATGTAATAAATACTTTCACAGTGCTGACTTCAATTGATAAGTGTGAAGTTTTCACCATGATTAAAAACAAACAAATGAACAAATCAACCAACCAACCAACCAGATGCTGCTCTGCAGTGTCCAAGGCGAGTGCTGAGGGGAACATAAAGCTCACATACTCGCCTGCGCAGTTAAGCAGCATTGGTATGGGTGATTTGGAGTCAACACATAAGAGAGCAAAGACTGTTGCACACTCACACTGGTGCTCTGGACCCCAAAAGAAGCAATCCCTATTTTAAATAGTTAGTGTGAATTCACTGGCTTGCTCAAGTATGGACTTAGCAGGGGTAGGTTTTGTGCAGTTTATTATCCATATGTTGTAGGTGAATAATCTTCGAGAAAAGTAGAACATCAATTACCAGGTTCCTGAAACTTTCTATAAAAAGGTGTTTAGATATATTTATGAGTGTTTTGCTCATATGTATGTCTGTGCACCAAGTGTGCTCAGTGCCCTCAGTGGTCAGAAGAGGGTGTTGCATTTCCTGGAACTGGGTTATGGATAATTTCAGTACATTGTGTGGGTACTGAGTATTGAGTCTAGATCCTCTGCAAGAACAAGTGCCCTACTGAAATACTTCTTCTTGTTATTTTGTTTTTTGAGACAGGGTTTCTCTGTATAGCCCTGACTTTCCTAGAACTTGCTTTGTAGATCAGGCTACCCTTGAACTCAGAAATCCGCCTGCCTCTACCCCCACCCCCCAAGTGCTGGGATTAAGCCTGGCTACTGAAATACTCTTAAGACTTAGAGTCAAGCTAGAGAGTGTTCATATAGTTCCCCAGCACTACTGTAGGAGACAGGTAAAACATTCGATGTTAGTTCTTATGAAGCTGGTCATACAAGGACATAGCAAACTAGCAATGTCCCTGCCTACCTAGTGTTATCTGTGAAATCCCTCTCCCTGTAGTAAGCACTGTGGAACAGCACATGAAGAGAACACGTGCTGTCTATCCAATAGTGAGGCTCCCGTGAACTCTTGTCCCCCCCCCCACAGGATCTTGTGAATAACCTGCTGCACCCCATGTACTTATGGACCTCCCCCAGCTCTGATGGGGTTTTGTTTGTTTTTATCTCTTGGTATCATAACCCACCGCTTTAGTACAATTGAGCCTGTGGTTAGGACATAAGGAAAGGTGGCAGGAGCTCTTGGTTAGGCCCATGACAACCACTCAAAGTGAGAATCAAGAGGCTAATCCTTAGACATTGATCACTTTATTCTGGAACTGGTTTTCACACTACATGAGTAGGAAAGGGTTTTTTTCCTCCCAAGAGTAACAAAATTAACAGAAAAAAAAAATATTATTGGAATTCCATGGGTGGCACATTCACAATGACTTAATGCTAAAGAAGCTGCTTAAGGCACTCTCACAGAATTCCTAAATTAGGTAAAGAATTAAAGGATTCTAGCATAGTAACCTCACCTTCACCCCTCCCCTGCCAAGTCAGGGAACTTGGCAAAAAAAACAAAAGCAAAAATAAAAACAAGGCAGTACTACATTGACTCAATCTAAAACATCCTGTTGTTTGTTTTTTAAGATATACAAATGGCCTTGGTGAAATTTTCCAGATAATAATGGGTTTTCAGAGCTATGCAGGAAACCTACTGCCAGTATATTTAATAAGTCTCTATGAGTTAGCACCTGTATACAAGGCACAAAGCAGGACATATGATTTCCAAGTCTTACCACGTATGAAGAGCTCATTAGCCTAACAAAGGGTCAGAGTAACACCCCCAAAGCATAAGTGTCCCTCAGGAGACCTGAGATGCAGGTCAAGGGAAGGCAGTTTGCCAGTCAGGAAGCCCATTTGATTCCAATGGGTGAGAACTCTTACAGACAACTCTTTCATAACCTCCTATGAAATAAGTTTTTTGTTTTCCTCTAGTTACCTTCTAGCATGTAGAAGATAATGGGTCTCAGCCAGATCCCTAATATCTAAGAATGTACATTATTAGATAGAGCCCCAGGTTATGACTTCTGCAGTCATAAGGGCTCAAGGGTGACTTCAGTTCAATGACAGTTGAACACCAACTTCGGAATGTACAGCGGGGGTCACTGTGACAGGTTTCTTCCCTGTGTGTCTTCTCTGATGTTGAATAAGGTATGAAGGTCGGGTGAAGCCTTTTCCACATGTTTTGCACTCAAAGGGTTTTTCGCCAGTGTGTACTTTTTGGTGCTCAATAAGGCTTGTAATCCTAGTGAAACTTCTCGCACAATCATTGCACTGATAAGACACAGGAGTTTCAATATTTTCCCAATGGCTTTCCACCCTACTATGACTTTCCCAGTAAGGTTCTGGAACAAAAAAATCTTTATCCCCAGTATGGGTCCTCTGGTGTCTCAGGAGATGTGAGCTACGCCTAAAGGCTTTGGGACACATATTGCACTGATACGGCTTCTCCCCGGTGTGAATTCTGTGATGCTCAAGGAGGCTGCAGCTCTGGGTGAAGGTCTTCCCACAGTCATCACACTCGTAGGGCTTTTCCCCGGTGTGGGTTCGCTGGTGCTTGATGAGGTCTGAGCTGTGACTGAAGGCCTTGCCACATTCTTCACACTCGTATGGCTTCTCACCAGTGTGAACCCGCTGATGAATGATAAGAGCTGAGCTTCCAATGAAGGCTTTGCCACACTCCTCACATTCATAGGGTTTCAATCCAGTGTGGATTCTTTTGTGTTTACTTAAGCCTGAACTCTGAGCAAAACTCTTTCCACATTCACGGCAGTAGAACCGCCTATTTCCAGTGGCAGTTTTCTGTGTTGTCTGTGACTTGCCTTCCTGCTCACTGGCTTCTGCACCTGCAGGAATCTGGACAGTGTCTTCACCCAAGAAGCACAGTGTCTGCTCAGGCTTTTGTTCTGTGTACTCCTCAGCGGGAGGCAAGTCCCTAATCTTAGTCTGCATGTCCTGATCTGAAACACAAATGCCAACAACTGCTAATTACGTTTTGCATTGGAGCACTATGATGACTAGCATGGACAGAAAGAATTACAAAGGTCTATATATATACACCAAGGTCAAGCATTGAAATGCAGAAATTAGGATGGGACAAAAGGAGGATACAGAGAAGCTAGGGAGACCTAGAGACAGGAATGGGGCTGTTAATAGACGGGTACAGCTGAGAGGAGGGAGCAGAGGACACCAGTGAGAACCAACGCCTCCTGTGGATACAGAGTAGAGGTGGTGCAGGAACCTTTAAGTTATGATAGTAGAAAGGCGGCACAGACATACACCCAAGGTTAGTACTGCACTTTCTCTGCTGGGGAGGAGTGGAGCTGACCAAGCCTTTGGAGGCCAGAAAATCATTAGTGAGTCATAGATTGTGGATACTGAACTACAAGGTGTAAAGCTATACTGCTGGACTTTGGCTTTGCTTAAGTGTGATGGTTTTTATGCCCCAGTTCTTCCCTTTTGGGGTAAAGAATCTTTAACTTGTTCTTAATCTTACAGGAACCAACAGTTAAAGAGACTGGATACTTTTAAAAAGACTATGAGATTTTAAAAAGTTATACTGTTTTATATTGGGATAAAATCTTGGGGACAAGAAAGGAAAGGTTGCTTTAATAGTGGTGTATTTTTATGTCAGCTTGAGAAGGGTCAACTAATTTGTGCCGGTTACTTTCTGTCAACCTGACACAAACTAGAGTCACCCCTGAAAAGGGTATCTCAGTTGAGTAACCACCTCCATCAGACAAATCTGTAGACAAGTCTGCGGGGCATTTTCTTGTTTGATCACTGACGTGGGGAGGGGTCCACCACACTGTGGGGGTGCCATCCCTGGACAGGTAGTTCTGATCATACAAGAAAGTAAGAGAGTAAGCCAGTTTGCAGATTTTGTCAATGGTCTCTGCTTTAGCCCCTGCCCTCAGATTCCTGCTTGAGTTCCTGCTCTAATTTCCCTCAACGGTGTCATGGAAATAAACCCTGGAGCCCTGCAAGGAGTCATAGTATGTGAGTCAAGTGGTATTCATTATTGCAGGAGAAAACAAACTAGTACAGATGTGAGAAAGACTGAGTACAGGAAGTAACAGAAAGTAGGGCAGTGTTCACATTTGTTCAGGATAAAGACAAAGGCACTTATGCTGACCTGTGCCGTGGCAGTGGCGGGCACACCAGAAAAGAGCATCAGCTCTCTGAGACAAAATCGGAGCCACTATCATGCCACCAATGAGTTGTGTGACTTCTGACAAGTCTGGCAACCCTATGTCCTTGCCTCTAGGTGTGTGTGCATGTCTATGTGTATATACACACACCTACAGCTGATATCTAATGCTGCTTCATTCTCACACTGTGACTCCATGACCCATCTCTTGTGGAGAGGCTCCTCAGCTTTTTCACTAGTCATGGATGGGAATAGGAAGGGAAAGGGAAGATTTTTTTTTTCCAGTTTATTCAAGCCATGGTCTCATACATGGTAGGCAAGTGATCTACCTCTGAAGATGCACAGGCCCAGCACTCAGTCTTTACCCAGAATCTCCTCTGAGCCAGCACAGCACTAGGGACGGGATCTACTTTATCCCACTCATCTTGACTAGAGTACCCAGGGAGTGTGCTACTGTCTTCGTCAACTTGACACAAATCTGGGTATATTGGGGGAAAAAAATCTTAATTGAGATAATCCCTCTATAAGACTGGCCCGTAGGTGAGTCTGTGGGGACATTTTCTTGATGAACTGTAAATGTGGCAGTGCCATCTCTGAGCACAAGGTCCTGGAGTATATAATGAAACAGGCTAAATAAGCTGGGGAAAGCAAGCCAGTAAGCAGAACCCTGCCATGGCTCCTGTTTCTACCTCAAGGTTTCTGCTTGAGTTTTGTGATGACTCTGATGTTGAACTTTAATGTGGAACTGTACGCTGAAATAAACCCTTTCTTCCCCCAAGTTGCTTTTACTCATAGTGTTTTGTGACAGCAATAGAAACCCTAACTGCGACAGAGGATAAAGAATCAAGATTATAAGCATTAAGGAGCTAGGCTTAATTAATAATAGGCTTTCAAAGTGTGTTTATAATTTCAAACATAATGAACTCAATAGCTCCTAACAGCCCGACAGGGAAAGAAGGTTCTATTACAGAAAAGACAGCAAGAAGCCCGAGAAGAAATTAGCATCTTCCAGTCTTACCTAGGGAAACCAGGCTACCAGGGTCTTCCTGCATGTCATCTTTGTAGAGGTTCATCTGAGATGAATCCTGTTCTGTCCATCTGGGAGAAAGGGCTGGAGCTACATCTTCCATTTTTAGCAACCCCTAAAAAAAAATAAAAGTCCACCAAAGAAATGGAACAGGGAATATCTGGGTTGCAAGTTCACAGGCTCGACCATTCCACCCCCAAATGGCAAAGTCTCAAGCACGCTATGGGAAGTTGAACAGTAAGAAGACCTTGGGATGAAAATGGAAATGCAGACTCCAACTAAGGACTGGGTGGAGAATGGGGGCCAGGAGAAGGATGGAGCGGAAAGGGGGCAGACTAGTAAAGGATGTTGAAGAGGGGAACAACTCTAGCTCACCTGCAACTCGGAAGTGAGCCTGGGAGCTGCCACTCCATCTTCTTCACAGTGGCCCCCCTGGGTGACTACAACAGAAAGCTCTGGGTGAGACTCCCACTAGTACACAGTCCCTTCAAACTGTGGAACCCAGGTTTAAAAGCTTAACCAATAAATTTTTGCAAATACATGTTTATAAAAAATTTTCTTTTCCAAAATACCTGATTGCTACCAGAGCCAAAGATATTCGGTGAAGATACACAAAAGCTCTTGGAGAGCCAGAGTTTGTGTCATTGGGACAGCACTTGATGTGTGCTTCACACTTAGCATGTGTGAAGTCCTGGATTTCATCACATGTACCACCACAAGAAGGAAAATGACATAAAGCCCAGTAACACTAACCTCTGACTTCTGAGGGCAGGGATCCCAAAGACTCCTGCTTAAGCAGAGGCTCCATGGGCTCCATCTGGCTCCTCTCTGAGCCCGGAGCTGATGTCAGCAGTACTGCCTTGGAGCAAAGGATTTCCTGCCCATCGTCATCATCTGGAACCTAGAAGTCATTCATTTATTTTATTTTCCATATATTTATTAGACATTCCCAAAGTAATTTCAGTTTGACACTGTCTCCAAACTCTACAAATATGTACTCATTTAATACAGACAACGACTTCATGAGGGCACAGTTTACTCAAAATCACTCTTCTAAATGACAAAGCTAAGAGGGGCGACCAGGCAAATGTTTCCACAGTTCATTCAATGCTTCCTACATATGTAGATTTATGAACTCGCTTAGGAAAACGGTGATATAAACCCAATCCACGCTAATTTCTTACCAGAAACCTGAGGATGCTGTTTCTAGTTTAGTCTATAGAATGGGTGAAACCAGAAAGCCGACAGTATATGAAGCCACCCAGTAGGGCGTGGCGCCTGCTAACTGAGGCAGGTTTGCTTCCGGTCATTGTTACAGTTTCCAAGTTCAGCTCTCTCCCAAGCTCAGCATCCCCACACCTTTCACCAACTGAAGCTCAGCAGCTGTGGTGACTTTTCACTGTTAGAAAACTCAGGCAGTAACTCCAAGACCTTTGACTTTGGTCACTGTTTAGAAAGCCATGTGTCTCCTGAATAAAAACACTAGGGAACGCAGAGAGGAAAGTGTCTCCTATAATAGTCCAGAAGATGGAAGCTAAAACCAGGTTATTTTCTACCAGAGGATCAAACAAGGGGTCCATAAATTTGGACAGGAAAAAAACTTTTTTTTTTTTTTTCGAGACAGGGTTTCACTGTGGCTTTGGAGCCTGTCCTGGAACTAGCTCTGTAGACCAGGCTGGTCTCGAACTCACAGAGATCCACCTGCCTCTGTCTCCCGAGTGCTGGGATTAAAGGCGTGCGCCACCATCGCCCGGCTCAAGAAAAAAACTTTTAGATTCTAAGAAAACTGTGGAATTTCCCTCCACTGTCAATGAGAACAACAAAGCAAGGTGGCTAAGGACGACAGCACTGAAGATGCTGTCACATGTGACAAGCCAAGAAAACACGTATCAAGTCATTTGTGCCCACTGCCACTGTGCTCAAGCCTGTCCTCGGGTCTTACTCAGCACACCGGTTACGAGTTCACATCTAACCTCTCACCACTCTGCTCGACACAGTCTACCCGAGCTGCACTAGCTCTGAGTTCTCCCCAATCCTTGTACTTTCCTTTGTGCTTTTAACTATTCTGAGGGGTCCAGGCCACCTCGCTGTTGCCTCAGGTTCCCAGTTCAGACTGAGACTTCGCAGGCTCTAAGCAATGCCTCCCTTGGATCTTGCTCGAGGTTTCTGGAAGGCACAGGGCATAGGTCTCAGACCCTAAACCCGTTCCTTCTACCTGTGGAGGCGTCTCGTCCAGCTGCCTCTCCAAGTACTCCAACAGCGCCACCACCTCCTCCCCGCTGTCGGGGTGCTGCTCGCGCACCCAGGCCTGCAGCTCCCCTGGCAGGATGGTCAGGAACTGCTCCAGCACCAGCAGCTCCAGAATCTGCTCTTTGCTGTGCATATCTGGCCGCAGCCACTGTCTGCAGAGCTCTCGGAGCCGGCTCAGCGCCTGCCGGGGTCCAGCAGCCTCTGGGTAGCGGAAAGCGCGGAAGCGCTGGCGGGAGCGGTCTGGCCCAGGGCTGCCCAGCCAACTGGCCTCCTCTGCCAAGGGGGAGGCCTCTTCCTGTTCCACCTTTATGACCAGTAACTCCATCTGGTCCTCTGCAGAGTGTGAGTCCAGGGCTGTGCTTTCCCTTGATTCTCTAGCCATCCCGAGCCAAGGAGTTCTCCCGTTTCACTGCAGCTGTGAGCTGTATTTCTGCAAGAGACTACTGAGAGGTGGAGAGGACTATGAGCCACTTGGAGTTGCAAATGCTCCCCTCCTCCTATGCCCAGGACCCCGGGGGACCTGCCAAGGAGCAGCTGGGGAGATCCCCATGTTCAAATGCCTCTGTAGGTTTCCTTTCTGGGGGACTTAGAATCAACTAGGCATGTCTGTGAGGGTGTTCCGGAGAGATTAGACTTGAGTCTGAAGATCCACGTGACTGTGGGCGGCATCATTCCACGTGCTCCGGCCTCACACGAAAAGGAGCTAACACGTGGAACAGCAGCGTTCATCTCTCAGCTTCCTCACTACAGACAGATGTGAGCAGCTGCCTCCTTGTTGGACTGTACCCTCAAACTGTCAACCAAAGGAAACCCTTCCTCTGCTTGCTTCTGTTGGGCAGTTTGTCACAGCACTAAGGAAGTACCTAACTTAACTAGACCTGACAAGAGGGGCTACTGCTGTGATAAACTTGACCACGTGTTTCTTATCCCCTAAATGGTCATAACTAAAGTTTAATAGGCCATTCTGGTGAGAGTGTGGAATTCAAGAATGCCAGAAACGTGAGCAGTAGAAGCCTAGCTGACGGAGTTTCAGAGTTTCAGGAACAGGAATGGAATCTCTTTATGTTTACATCCTGACAAAGAATCTGGCTGCATTCAGTCCATACCATAAGACTGAATTTAAAAAATAGCAGACTAATTTATTTGGCAGAAGAAATTCCAATTAGGATAGCATGCAGGCTATGGCATGACTAGTGCTCACTTATTCAGATCAGTAAGTAGAGAAACCAAAAATATATGAAAACCGTGGTCTGTTGAGGAAAGGTGAGTGTCCAGTGCAATGCAACAATGAGGGTGCAGGCAGCTGAAGCTTCTGCAGCTGTCACACGAGCACTGGGAAAGATAAATCTCTGTTCTACATCTGGGAAATAGGAAAAGCTCTCTGAGGGCAAGACCCCACACATCCATTCAGAATCCTAACTTGTGAAATTCATTTAAAAGGGGGAACCGAAACTGCGAAGATCACCATAAGAGTTTACTGATTCAAAATGGGAGCCTATGGAAACATGTACCCCTGGGTCAGTCTCAAAGGCATACGGAGACCACTATAACAATAGTATAAAGGAATCAAGCTACATTTCAAACAAGCAATACTTGAAAGAATCATTCAAGTAGTACTGGCTTTGCAAGCATGAAAGATATAGAAGTAAAGGAATCAAGGAGGCTTGTACAATTCCAGAAAGACCCTCCAACTAGGCTGTGTGCTGGGGTCGGATTCCCCATAAGAAGGTCGTTGCATGAAGCTGGGAATATAAAGCCTACATTGCAATGGAAATTCCAAAATATAGGAGATGCTATGATCATGGGACATCTGCTGAGAAAAGCCAAGGCACAGAGGACAGTTGGAACGAGAGAGAGGTCATGTGCTGTAGACAACAGAGCTGGAGAGGTGGAGCTGCCCAGAGTTGTTAAGCCCAGATGACTGCATCATGAGCCCAAGGCACGCAGGATTTGGTGTTTTCCTCCAGGTCTTGCTTTAGTCCAATCTTGCCCTGCTATGTTCCTGTTCCTCATGTTTGGAATAGGAATGTTTACTTTGAGCCCGTGTACATAAGAAGTACATTACTTATATTATTTTATAGGAACTCACAGTTAAAGAGATTGCCTGAGTTTCAGAAAAAACTCTGCACTTATATTCTGAATAATGCTGGAACTGTTAAATACTATATAGATATTTGGAAACAGACTAAAACACATTTTACCTTATCAGAATGTGACCGTGGGGGCCAGGGTTAATATGTTATATTTAAGTGATGCATTTAATTATGACAAGTTAATCTTGTTAACGTGACAGGGTTTAGGATCACGCAGGAAGCTCTGAGGGCATTTTTAGAGAACATTAACTGAGGTAAGAAGACTTACTGTGTATATAGGTAAGCTAAGGTCATGGGCTAAGATCCTAGACTGAATAAAAAGTAGAAAGTAGAGCACTGGGATCCATCTCTGTCTCTGCTTCCTGATGACAGAATGTGACCCGCCACCCCAACCTTCGACTATGATTCCCCGCTATGGTAGACAGTATCTTCAAATAAACCCTTCTTTAAGTTATACTGCTAGGTATTTTGCTAGAATAATTAGGAAACCTGAACCCTACAATAAGCTCTCCAAAGGATGTTCCGTAAATGGGTCCGAACACCTCATACCCCTGGAGAGAGAAATTGAGATTAGGGCAGCCAAGTAATTCTAGCAGCGGGAATGTACAGAACAGAGTATCCCTAGATTGGATGGCCAACTCTTGCCCAACTGGTGAGCTTTAGTGAGCAATAGGTTTAGTGAGAGACCTGTCTCAGAAACATAGATAAAGGTGGAGAACAATAGAGGAAGACATTCAATACTGATCTCTGGCTTCCATGTGCACAAGTGTGTGCATGTACCAGTATGTACAAGCACACAAACATTTAAACAAACATACCACACACACTGTAGACTTCAAAACTAGAAAACATGCTGATTCATCTCCGTGTTCTAAGCTTACAGGAAACTTAGAAACCAGAGGAGGTTAAGGAGGTAAGGACACAGGCTGCCTCCGTAGCATACCGGCAGGCATGTTTGTTTCTCAGGGTTGAACAACAGATAGCAGATGGACAGGCAATGTGTCGGAGATCTGTGACACATGCAGATTGAGTAAAGGGAGGTACCCCTCCTTTTCCTTCACTGTGTAACCTCAAATCTGTGTTAAATGGGCATTCAGTGGCTGTCCAATAGGCTTCACAAGGGAAACGAAGTTGGCATAATCCATGTCAAAGAAGACTGGATGAGTACCCCACCTGAGTTCGAATATGGACACTAGAATAAGACATTTATGGAGGCCCTTCCTCTACCCACTATCAGACTTGGAAATGGCACATATTAACCAGTCAGTGCCTCAAGGGTTTCACAGCTTCAGAAACTGTGAGACGTGGGATTCCTAAAAGGGATAGAACATCTGATTCCTCTGACTAGAAGATATGGGAGGGATTAGGCTAGAACTGCCTGCCAAGTTCAGTGAGTACTGTCAGAGCGCTCCTCTTCATCCACTGGAGCAAGACCAGAGCGAGGAAGACTGTGGAGCAGCTAAGGCAAGGATATTTCCAAGTATGTGCCCATTTCAATTTCTACCTCTCACTCCAGTTTTCTACAGTTCCAGGGACAGCATAGACGACAGATGGAAGCTAAGGAACCTTGACTTAACTGTGCTTTTTTCTTTTGATTTTGTAAGACAGGGTCTCACTCCAGTTCAGGATGGCCCTGGGTTTACCATGCAACTCATGGTGTCCTTGAACTCAGGGCAATCTTCCTGACTCAACTTCCCAAGAGCTGAGATTACTGGTGTGAACCATTACATCTGGATGAACATCACATCAACTGTTAGAAAAAACAAACAAAACCAAACCAAAAAAAAAAAAAAAAAATTTAAAAAAACCTTCCTTCTAATTAGCCGTCACAAGAGATCTGGTATACTCTAACTTTTTCTCAAGTAAACCTAATTTAATCATACTTTAGGTCCAAGAACTCAAGTACAGGTAAAAACATAAGAGCAAATTAAAATTATTAAAGCTTTGCTACACAACAGACTCACTGGAAAGCCATTAAAGCCTATGATAGTGAGGCAGATAAGGTCAACTGAACCAGCTTCTGGGGGTGAGCTACAGGCCTCAGTATTTGAGAACTTACTGTGTGATCCAAAGTACAGCCAAGGGTGAGAACTAAGAAGCTAAAGAGAAGAGATTTTTTTTTTTTAAGTATCAGTAGAATAAAGCAATTGATATGAGAATATTAAAAACCCATTTTCCCATAAATAAATAGTATGCTAAAGAGGAAGCAAAGGGACGGCAGACTAGCTTAGATTAGAAGAGACAGCAATTCAGTACAAACTATGTAGTTTAAATAACATCCCCAAACTGTAAAAAGATATTTGTGGGTCGATCAGGAAAACATGAACACAGTGTTAAGGAATTGCTGTCAATTCTGTTTATTTTGACAGTGTGGCTAAATTAAAGTTCCTATCTTAGGACTGACATGCTTGCAGATGGCTATGATGTCTTGGCCTCCAGTCTGTTGTAAAATGAATGAAAGATGGGAGGAAGAGGAGAAAAAGGAAAAGGAGGCAGGGAAGGACAGATGGCGAGAGGAGGAAAGAGAAGGACACGGGAAAGCCAGGAAAAACGCGAATGAAATTAAGTAAAACTGCTGGATGATGGGCTGACTGCGGTCAAGCTCAAGATTTTCGCCGACTGACATTTACACCTTTTTCAATACAATACTAAACATGAAACAAAATCCTATCCTTTCTTGCCTAAATACAGTCCAAAACATTTTGTTGGGGTCAAGGGAGGTAAGGGTAAACCCAAGATCGAAAGGGTGTTGGGAGGGAGAGACTGTAGGGAGAAAAAGGAACACTGATATATTCCTAGGAATCATTTTCAGCCACTCACGTTTCACCGCCTGTCCTGTCTGAAGTCTCAGCCCAACTGGGCAGAGTTCAAAAGTACAGGACCAGGACTGTTTACAAAGTGGGAGAGTTTGCCAAATAAGTAAACCAAAGACAAGGTTTTTCGTTTTTTTTTTTTTTGTTGTTGTTGTTAAGTTACAAGTAGAGAAAAGAATGTCACAGGGATCCCTGTAGGTTCCAAGAATGCTAAAAACCCCACATTCTCCAAGAAAAGGAGGCAGATAAAAGGATTATAAAAGATGGCAAGAGGCATCGATTCAGTGACAATGGTAAACGATATATGGTCAACATTAGCCTTAAAAACCTGCAACAAGAACGAAGGGTTAGTATGACTCAGTTTCAAATCTATCTGTCTCTAATCTGTCACCAAGCTACCTAACTAGCAGTCAAATCGATCATCCATCCATGGGATCCTTATGCAGATGAGGATTCTTGCTGAGGGCCAGAAAGCTGGCAGGTGGCAAAACAGGAATGTCAGCTTACACCAGGGTCCTTAGTCTCTTCACTGTTAGATACCTCTTGCTGCTCCTTCTGTTTCTCAAGCTCCTCCTCCCCCTAAAAAAATGGCATCCCCAAGACTGTAAAACTCTGTGAGTCTGAGCATCACAACACACTACACAAACCACTTCTCATCTTTCCTTTGGGATAGGCTCTTCTCCAGAATGTTTTATTTTCCTTCCTAAAATACCCATTACAGAAATTACCCATTACAAAGAGAATTGGTAAATAGCACTAAAATTCAAAAGGCAACAGCCAGTACCAAGGCTAGTCACCGAGGCGAAGGTGCTGTCCTAGTTAGAAAGGGCGACAGCAATAATAAAAGCAATCTTTACACTGCAGATTACCCCGTGCCTGGTACTATTTTAAGCACCTTGCACAAACGAAGCCTTTTACTCCTCACAGCAATCCAGTAAGTTAGGCGATATCATTATCCCCTAAAATAGCAAAGCATAGAAAAGTTAAGGGACTGGGAGAAAGTCACAAAATAGCACAGGCCAAAATCCACCAGGCAACCCGACTCCAAAGTTCTGGCTCTTTTCCAGTACCCCAGAATAAAGACCTTGGAACTGACCTTGTCTCCAGGAAAAGCAAAACTGTGCCGTCTCCCATTTTCAAAGCTTAAGTACAAGACCCAAGAATCCCATCTCCAAACGCCCTGAGACTGACCAGACACCCGGAACCGGCCCGAGGCGAGGCGCCCGAGGCCCTGTCGGGCACTCGGCCCAAATGGCCATCGAGGTTTTTTTCCGGCGCCGCCAGGCCGCAGGGGAAGGCGTTCTGTCCCACCCTCACCGACCCACAAGCAGCCCGGCCCGCTGGAGGACTGTAGCAAGACGTGACCCAAACCCACCCGCGATCGCAGCACCGCGCAGCACCCCGCAGTCACAAAAGTGTCCGAAAGTCCGACCCCGAGGGGGCGGGGCACAGGGCACTTCCGGCCTCTCTAGGCAACAGCGACACTCTATGGTTCGCCTACCTCCCCCCCCCCCCTTTCTCCCTCCTCTTCGTGGTTGCTTCGTGAAAAAAATTTTTTTAAAAAAAGTATATATTTTTAACTGAAGTAGAATTACATCACTTTCTCTCCTCCCTTTCCTCCCTCCAAGTCTTTCCAAGAAACCCTTCCATACCCTTCCACTCTTAAGTTGATTGCCTCTTTTTATTACTGTTAAATTCGTATATGTACATATGTATGTGCATGCACAAATTATATTTATTTATTTATTTATTTTTATATTTACACACACACACACTCAACCTGCTAAGCCGGGTTTGTTGTTGTGTATATATGATTTCAAGGCTGACCACTTTGCATTGACAACCAGTAAGAGGGCTCATCCCTGGGACAGACTAATTCTCCATTCCTCAGCAGTCAATAGTTGCCTGTGGTTCTCTGGTTAGGGGTGGCACCCGGTGAAATTTTGCCACCCCCCAAGTTAACATGTTCCAGTCTTGTGTATGCAGCCATTTCTAGGTGGAACTGTTTCGCGGCTGGCTTCTTGGTATTCTTGCTCTTAATAATCTTTTTCCTCCTGTTCCTCCAAGTTCTCTGAGCCTTAGATGCAGACGTAAATGTATCTGTTGATCTCTACATTGTATCCAGTTGCGGGTTTCTGTGATGGTCTTCTTTATTGGTTGTAAAGAGAGGCTTCTTTGATGAGGGGTGGTAGCTGCATTTATCTAGGAAAGATGGCTCTAGCACCAACAGACTTTCAAAACGTGATTTTTCCAAGGACTACTAAGGGAAGATAACAAAATAATGAGTCTTTGTATAGGCTGACATCTCTGTGAGTAGAAAAAAAGGTAAAAAGAAAATTCTATTTTCTTGTGTCATTGCAAAGAAGTCCTAAGGAAATGTATCAGAAAATTATGCAAATGTTTAGAAACTGGATGAAAAAGAGAACTAAAGATGAGGGGAATGTGGTTTTTTTTTTATTTACAACTAGTTGTATTTTCTGATTAAAATATAAATACAACACATTTTTAATGAAAATTCTGAATGACTTTTACAGAAAATCCAAGATAATCTTCAAATTACAAATAAAAATCTAGGTTTAAGATGTTAAATTGAAAAAAATTGATGTTGATAATTACATTTTTCATCACCAACCCAAATAAGAAAACATCACCTTAAAAAGGCAACCATTACAGTAGCAAGAAAGTATAAAAGAGACCTAAATGGAAACATAAGGCTTTATTGATGGAGGATCAATAGTTGAGAGCCAGATAAATGGGTTTATGTCTATTATCCCAGCACATGGGAAGCTGAGGAAAGAGACTCACTTTAAATTACAGCTTCATGTTCAAGGCTAGTTTGGTCTACACTGTGAGTCCTGGATTACAGTGTGAGATCCATTGTCATAAAACAAAACAACCCCACTCATGACCACACGAGCAACCGTAATTAAACTCAGTGGGTCACACACACACAAAGACATCAAAGTAGAGGAGACATGGAAGAAGGATTTCAGTGGGAGACGATTTCAGTGAGGAAAGGGGAGGGTGATGAGAGATGAAGATAATCAAAACTCAATGTAAGTGTATGAAATTGTCAAATAATAATAGAATTTTAAATCATAAAAGTACATACCTATTGAAAGATATCCCTACCAAATAACAAATATAAATAAATAATAATAAAGATAATATACCATATCATGTATTTGATAATTCAACTGTATTAGGGTGTTATTTTTCCCTAAATTAATACAAAAATTTAATGCAGAGTGCTTGTTTCAGCACCATAGCCTATAATTATATATATACACAGATTATTATGACACTGCACGGGATGACATGAAAATTCACAAAGAATTCCATACTCTTAAAAAATGACTCCAGAATAAATAGAAACCCCAACAGTGTGTATCCAGTGGAACCTAATTGGTCTACTTTAAACTGTTACAGAATAATGATAGTCATGAATACGTAAGTAAATTTTTAAGCAAATGAAAGTAACGTAAAACTGGCTTTGCCTGAAATAAAGACTGGCTTAAAATGCGAAGGAGTTTCAATAGTGTAATAGAGACACCACTAAAGATCTGTGAAACTGAACTGAGCATGGGGAAACAAACACGTATGTATAGATGTTCAACACATGACAAAAGCGGCATTCTAAGTCACTGGAGAAAGCAGTAGCTACTTGACAAATAGGTGACATTTAGGTGGCTAAGTGAAGGAACAAAATATGATTGGGTTTCTACTTAACATGTCACAGACTGATCAATTCCACTGTAAAGTAAAAAAAGAACTTTTAATTTTTACAAAATATATAGGATTGCTTATCCATCAACTCTAGGCAGGATTTCTCTTAAACTGAATGTGGTGTCTTGAATGAGGTGACCTTCATAAGCTCCTGCCTTTGAATACTTGGTGGCTGTTGGTGGAGGATTAGGTTTGGCCTTCCAGGAGAGAGTATGTCACTGGCGCTGGGCTTTGAGGGTAAAAAGACTCCTGCCCTTTGAGTTGTCTCTCTCTGCTTCCTGTGAGTATTCACCTGGGGCTCCGGCACCTGCTGCCATGCTCCCCATGATGGTGATGGACTGTTATCTTTCTAGAACTGTAAGCCCCAAATATACTTTCTCTTCTATAGGTTGCCTTGGTAATAGTGTCTAGCATAGCAATTGAAAAGCAACTAAGACACTGAACAAAATACAAATTGAAGGAAAAAATCTTATCTTATTAGAAATTAGAACTATGTATATAGAAATAAAAATGGCAGAAGCTAGTAGAAATGACAGTTGAAAGACTTGGAGAAGTTATTTGTGACACACAGTATCAGGAAAAGAGCATTACACTGAATAGGAAATGAATATATCCAAATAAATAAAAAAAATCATAGCCAAATGGGAAAAATGGATAAGAATACATTCAGGCTATTCACAGAGGGAGGGGGAAATGTGATGGGGCTGGAAAAATTAATTATTAATAAAATATTGTCCTATTATTCCAGGTCCTTCTGACTATGATGTGATGCATGGGAGAGGAACTGCCTTAGCCACTTTTCTATTGCTGTACAGAAACACTTTGCCATAGCAACACTTACAAAAAAAAAAAAGAATTTAATTAGGGCTTGCCTACAGTTTCAGAGGTTTAGTCCATTATCATCATTTGTGGGAAGCATGGTGGCATGCAGGCAGACATATTTCGGGAAAAGGAGCTGAGACTTCTACATCCAGATCAGCAGGCAGCAGGAAGATAGAGACACTAGGACTGGCTTGGGCCTTTGAAACCTTAAAGCCCACCTCCAGTGACGCACTTCCTCCAACAAAGTCATACCTACTCCATCAAGGCCACACCTCCTAACCCCTGTCAAGCAGTGCCCTTCCCTGATGAAAGCATTCAAATCTATGAGCCTTTGGGGCCTTTCTTACTCAAATCACAACCGGAACGCTGGGAAACAGAAATCAAAGTTTTGTTCATCTTTTGCAAATATGAATTTCTTATTCTCCTTTCCAAAAGAGATAGAAGAATGCATTTGAAAATTCCACAACTGGTTATTATATTCCTGAGGTCCTTCTAGTCTGTTTTTAGATAACACCCCATCTGGCATTACAGCTTTGACTGGGGCAACTACTGTGTATAGTTTGCAGTTAACTATCATTCCCTAGGATCTGTCTGGTTTTGTGAGGATAGGCAACTGAGAAAAAGGAGGGGATGATGAGGACAGCTTTGCATCTCCAATGAACATTTTCCCTTGGTGAATATTCATTGTACAGGACATTGGCGTGTTTAAGGACATGTCTCATACAACTATATAATGTACTTTGAGTATATACCCCCACAAGTCCCTTTTTCCCCACCCTGTATCTGTCTTTAGTATTGTTCTTCTAGACCAGTGGTTTTCAGCCTTCCTAATGCTTATTGTTCCTCATGTGATGATCCCACAATCATAAAGTTATTTTCATTTGCTACTTCCTAACTAGAATTTTCTACTGTTATGAATCATAATGGAAATATCTGTGTTTTCGGATGATCTTAGGCAACCTGGGAAAGGGTCATCCAACTCCTAAAGGGGTTGAGACCCACAGGTTGAGAACCACTGCTCCAGAATTTTGCTTCTACTTTTGTGTCATAAGCATGTACATGATTTTAAGTGTCTATACGAAGTCTAGGAACTCCAAATGAAAGCATGCAATATTTACCTTTTTGAAACTGAATTTGCTTAGTTGATTATCGCCAATTATATCCATTTTCCTGTAAATAATAACTTTATTCTTTATGGCTGAGAAATTATGAAATATATACAGTATATAGGTATATATAGTATACACACACACACAGTTTTTTTAAACATAGCTCTCTGTTGAATAGATGCCCAGGTTGGTTCCAGAACTTAGCTATTGTGAATAGTGATGTAATAAACATCGATATGCAATTATCTCTGTTATATTGACCTGTCATTGGATAATACTCAGCAGTAGTATAACTGGGTCACACGGCACATCTGTGTATAACTTTCTGAAGAATCCATACTGATTTCCACAGTGGTGGACTAGTTCTCATTTCCCCCAGCAGTGATTCAGAGCTATGTGTTTTCAGCATCCTCATCAGCATTTTTTCCTTAATGTCATTCTGACTGGAGGAAAATGGAATCCCAATCTAGCTTTAATGTGAATTTTTCTGATGTCTAACAAGGTTGAGTTTTCATTTGTTTATTGGACATTTGTACTTAAAGTTTTGAGAACCGTCTGTTGATTTAACTAGCCTGTTTATTGATTGTGGGTATTAATCTTGTTGGTGATGTAGTGAATGAAGATTTTCTCCCATCTTGTAGTCTTTTTACTCACTTCATTTGCTGTAAAGACACATTTTAATTTCTTTAGAAACCATTTGTGAATTGTTG